GTTTTTGTTTTCTTTTGTTTTGTTTTGTTTTAATTTTTTCTCTTTTTTTTTTTTTTTTTTTTTTTTTTTTTTGCTGGGCGGGTGTTTTTGCGAACGCAGAAAAGTCTGCAATTTAAATACTGCGTTTTTCATTAAAACTCATTACGTTTAATTTTGTGCTTGACGTTTCCAAGCTTGCTAAGCAGCAAGGCCTCGTTATTTTACTTGTTTTAGCGTTCGCGCTAACAGTGTTGTTCTCCGTACACTACAGTACACAGTTCCGCGCCTTCCACGGAGAACATCGATGTTTATCTTCGCCTTCTGTCCAGCACTGTGTGAAGATTACTCATTTCTTTGGTCCATGACTGTTCCCCTTCGTCGGGCCCGTCATCGGTGCGCCAGAATGATGCATTATCTAACCCCTTGAAGAAGGTTGACCCGAGTTGGTGATATTTCGGTCAACTGAGTGTCAGAGTAACGTACTCCCGCGCCCAATGCGAACGCGGTTTGAAGATAGGAGAGCTCGATCATATCATGCAGGATAGGCACGATGACTCCCGCAAACAAGAGATCAGAACCTCCGATTGATATTATCTCAAAGGAGAGAAGAAACGCCATACAGACCCTTTTCAAAATCCCATCGAGCAACATTAGCGCCAGTTCGCGAGACAACTCGTGCCACTTTGTACTCTGCTCGCGCAGATCCTCAACGGGATTATTCGCGACTCCAGGGAACTACTGGGGGCGTGTTGGTCAAACAAAATGGCTGTCGAAAGGAGGTCGTTTTCGTCATTCAGCACGCGGACCACCATAAATTTCTTGCACTGCGGCGTAATATCGGTGTTACATATGAAAGCAAAGCGATTTTTCGACGGTAAAAGCCTTCTAATCAGTGCATAGGAATGTCATGGTGGAAGCGTAAAAATAATTACTGGAAGCGATATTTGCTACCTACGAGAACCATACAGCGATAGCAGACGACAGAGTTCAAACAACCTCCTATCCTGAGCTTCTCGGCGTTGCCGCTATGCGGCGTCGATTTCGTTGGAGTCGCCAATCGGCAATATACTGGGCGTCATATTTGAGGGCGGTGTTTAGAGCGCATGCTCAGAACGAGCTCACATTAAGAGCCTACTAAGACAGGCCATCTGGATGGTGCGGAATGCACGTTGAACAAGAACTGCGGAAGCTCATTGTCAGCGGCGCGCTCAGCAGACGCGCACACAGCTATGGCCGCCAATGAATAGTCCCTATTGCTCGTGGAGGAAGACTACAGTGCCCGCGATGCATGGCGGCAGCGGTGGCATAATGAAACTGGCTGTGAAAGCGGTATATAAAACTTTAAGCTGAACTGACACCGAACAAAAAGCTATCTTCAGCTGCATGCCAATGCCACGAGCACGAGTGCTTGCGCAGAAGGAGCGCTTGCGCTAGAAATGCATGTCGACACGTCTCGAAGCCATGCATGGACATAGGTCCGATGTCTTTGCTCGAGCAATACTCTTTTTTAGTCTATTCGGGTTGATTTTTTGCTGAACGCTGACGCCGTTTTCGCGTCCAATACATGCTTGGATTTCATAGCTATTATCCCAATCTGCACAGCAGACTGGGATAATAGACCCTTTCCGAAATGCAGTCTGGCCACCCCGATAACTATCATCACCTCAATGTATATCATCTGTACATGCTAATGGCTGCCTTTTGATGACTGATGAAAAAAGAATTTGAAGACAGGCACCGATGCGGAGCATGAACATTCCAGACGTTAGATCTCTGTATTGTTGCTCGATGTCAGCGTGACGACACTTGCGCTACACGTTTGAAGGTGTCATGAGAATCCTAGGAATACTCGGCTTCGGAACGCCACGGGCAGCTCGTGACAGTAAAGTGTGCTGACTATTATCGACATATTTAGTCGAGTAAGCGACTCGCACAGAGCTATTCATCATACCACTGAAACTGACGCGGACAGAGAAAGGGAAAACCGTACACTGCGAAGAACATCATAACCTTCGTAGGTCTGCCGATGACAAATATAGACACTAGATTTTGACCACCATTAGCATACAAATACATCGACTCATACTTGAACGATGACACAGAATTTCTGAAACTGCCAGTTCGCGAGAATATTTGAAGATGGGCTATTCTCTAATCAGTCGTCATTTCCTGTTCAAAAATCTTGTTTACTTACTGAGCAAGTTTGTGATGCCCCAAAAACTCTCTGACTAAATGCCGTTTCACAAGGTGCGACTTTTCGTCGGGAGTTTTGCTGGTGCGAAGACGCACATGCGTTTTCTTAACGTGCGTTCCTAAAAAGAAAAAGAAATGCATTGTGTGTAACGGTTTTAAGACCCATTTACCTAGGCGCGGCGAGACCAACGGGGCAGCCGCCGTCCGCTTCGATTAGCAGATCACGCGGCTGCTTTCGTATCCACGAGAAAGAAGAGCCCTCTTGCGACAGGCCCCCAAAGATACGAACGACTTAATTGCTGATCCGAATCGAAAACTGCTCCCTGTCAATATGTATACACCTCGGGAGCGCATAACTCGTGGCACATATCCGCCACCGAGGCCGTGAGTCGCTAATTAGAATCCAAACATTAGGCGGCCGCCGTGTATCGCCCGCTCCCGCCTGCACGAGAGGCCGGCGCCCGCTAGGGGGCGCGGGTCGGGTGACGTAAAGTGGCTTCGCCTTCGGCTTCCGCCCAGGCTCGAAGCCAAAAGCCGTTCGCCATTAAGGTGATTAATAGAGGCCGGTTAAACGAGTGCGACCCGCAGGATCGTTCCGAGGAATGGGGAAGAAGCGAAGAAAAATTAGGAGGGACCACTCGAATGAAAATGGGAAGAAAATATATGTGTCAGTTTGAAATGTGTCTCCGGACGGCGAATGTGGCGGCAAAACTAATTTCGGTAAGCCGAACCCCTCGGCGTCGGAGGTTGCGGGGCATGCAGCCGAGAGGCTCGCGATTAATGAATCCGCCGGGCAGAGATGTTCGGCACCAAGCGTCCCAGTTTACAAATCCGCTTCGGATAGCCTCGTTTGTGTGATAAAATATAAAACAAAACAAAAATAGATTCTCATCACCTAGTCGTGGTACCATTACCGATGTACTATTTACGTAATTAGCTTAATATAAACAGCCACATCCTAAAAAAAAAAAAAAGAAGGTTTGTGAGATTTTTTTTTGGAACACGGAAGCAGACATTTACGGCGAACAATGGCAGGATCACAGCTTATGACGAAGCTCAGAATACAATTTTATCTAAAAAATGCGATGTTGGCAGGGACATTGCGCAAGTGCAACGTATTGCTTATTGCACCAGGGCCCGTCCATTTTTGTTTTGTCTATTTGTATTTGGGAGTTTTGTCGTTCGATAGGGTTCTTCTATTGTTTGCCGTGATAGGCTGCCCCCGTACCCTGCAGGAAACAGAAATCATAGACTTTCTCGTTGGCTTCGAACCCACTTTGAACGGGCCGCATAGATCGGGTTCTTAACGATTCGCGCTCGGATTTACTACAGAGGCGCCCGAAGGTGGTAAAAGCTTTCACTAAAATTTTTTGAAAGATTGGCTCACATGAGTAAATCACGAAAAAAAAATGTTTTCCGCATACTTTGCATGGACACTTAAATACTATTTTCTGTAGCTGTTGCCCTTATTTGGGCCAAATGAAGTGAAAAATAGGTATAAACCAATGGCTATTTTCTCTTCATTTGACCGATTTTTTTTTTTTTGTCGTAATAAACGCCAGAACAGCCCAAAACGATGTTTTCATGATCTCAGAAAAAAAAGGCTTTGCAATAATTTTTTTCCAAAAACAAAACAAGTTTTTGTTTCTTTTCTTTTGGCTCTGTATATACTATGTATTAATAATTTCACCCTTTTCGGCCACCTCTGTAGCGAAGTCCAGCGCGATAAGTTGAGAAGCTAATTTTTGCGGACCGTGTAAAGTGGGATCGAGGCGTTAATGTACACGCGGTAGATTGCAGTTTACCTTTTAAACTCTGCTCCGCTTCGGAAGTTTGCAGGAACAACCGAAAGCGCATAATTCCTCGCAACGCATTTAAAGGAGTAGCCAGTGTTATATTCACGCAAAGATATGTGCAAGCATTCTGATATACCTTGTGAAGCATTTGATTGACACTATATTTTACGGTGACGACACTCCGGCGGAACATCCGTGGAAAGCTTCAATAGGATAATTAAACTTGAGGACGAAAACGAGAAGGGACGGACAAACACATACTTGTGTTTGTCCGTCCCTTCTCGTTTTCTTCCTCAAGTTTAATTATCCATACCAACCCGCTCGTTCTGTCCTTAGTTCAGCAGGAACAGGCGATAATGCTTGGGCGCATTGCTGTGGCATATGCATGTAGCGTAAGATGCCTAGCCATTATTCTAAGCTTCTTAGAAAGGCAAAGTGCCATCTGCTTTTTATTTATTTTCTTTTTGTGTAATTTCCTTTATTTCACAAACACTTCCAGGAGGCCCGCGTGGAAGCAAGCACGTAGGACATCTGAAAACAGCCGGCATCCTCAAATGGGACGTCCCATTCAGGATTTACACTTGAGCGGAAGAACCATTCGTTCGGTTGGCGTCTGGATCGTATGTTTTCTTTTTACGCTGGGAAACAACAGAAACTCAGATGCGCTTAATTCAAACCCGCGCCACTCTCGGGGAATGCACGCCAATACGTACCGGCTGCGCGCGCGAGTCCACTCACAGAACATCCCAAACGGAGAACGCAAAATAAAAGAAAAAGCAAACTCTGAAGAAAAAAAAAAAGAGCCCAAAACCTCGGAACGAAGCGAGAAAAAAAAAAAAAAAAAACGTTTAGGACGCGGACGAGCTGGGGATTTTCGAAGGTCCCAAGAGCATGCATGCAGCCGAAGATCCCAGCAAAAGATGGCGGCCTCGGCCGGCGGCCCCCGTGGGGAGAGGGAGAGCGTTCTCTGAAAGGAGGTGGAGAGTAGTGCCGCTTGTTGAACCAGAGGACGGAAAGGAGGCAGGGCCCAGCAGGGAGCAGGGCGGCAGGGCAGCAGGCAGTCTACGGGGATCAAGCAGCTCGACAGCGTCGAGAGGCAAAGGAGAGAGGAGAAACCGACGCTCTCCTCCACTGGTTCCCGCTCCCCGCGCTCTTTCGCGTGACTCTTTCTCATTTTCGCCTCCCTCTCGCTTCTCTCCCTCGATGTTTTTTTTCTTTCGAGTTCCGCTAGGTTTGTCTGCGAACTTGAGAGCCGCGTCCGCCGTCCGCCATACTGTCGGCGGCCACCGACGTCTGCGGTGTGGTGCTCCCTGTTGTCGGCTGGGGACTGCTAGCCTTCGCGCGCTCGGTGATCGTTGGTGCGTGCCTCGATTGCGAGACCGGATTACGTCTTCTGGGGAACGAGCGAGCAGCTGACTCTCCCCCCCTTCCCCCGCTATCGACTGTCAACATCGAGTCGTCAGCTGTTGTTTTCCTGCGTCGGTTTTCTCGTTGGTGCGCCTGGTTGTTCACCTGGATCGTCTGTGTTACTAGTACTGCCCCGCCCCCTTTCGTGTGGATTGATCGGTTCCTGTCTTGGGACGACTCAGGTGAGCTTACAGTTTTAATAAGTTCGGCTTGGACGTCTTCGCTCTCGTCGATTCCGTCGTCGTTTTGAATTTAGCGCCAACGTTGTCGGCAATCCTCGCGAGGCCCAAGCAAAACACGGACCACATGGTTCAGTTTTCATTTATTTTCGTTGTTTGTTTTTAATTTTATTGATGCGATTGTTGTTTTTATCGGTTTCCCTTACCCTCACTTCCCTTCACTCAAGTTTTCTGCCTGTTCTCGTAAAAAAAAAAAAATTCCCTCTTTCTCTCGTTCACTGGTGCTTCACACAACGCCGTCCCTTGGTATGAGCAATGGAAAACGAATATAAAAATTCAGTATTTTTATTTAATTTAAGGTGTACGTTTGAACTATATTTTAATGCATTCGGCATACCTTTAAAATATTTTTAGTGTATTTTGTATTGTATGACTGCAGTTCGGACTTCGACCCTGCCTGTGTCCATGCTAAAATATATATAATGTACTATAAGCTATGTTTTGCAATCTGTGTTATCGAACTAGAAATCTAGTGTACTTTAGTGCATTGCTTTATTACCAAAAACTAACCACGGTGAAACAAAGATAAAACCGGTAGTGTATTTAATCTTTACCTTGCAACTTCATATACTGCTTGACTAGGAACACAACATTTCGTCCCAATATATTTATTTAAAAATATCGAAGATGTTTAAACGTGGACATACACGAGACCTGCATTCATTTGGTTAATTATCTGTCGCGGTGCTTCTTTCCGTGCGCGCAGATACTTGGAAAACAGGAGAGGACTGGCGACGAGAACTCGTTCGTTTGCGGTGCTGTTCGCGGGCCAAAGCTTTCAGGTTCGGTCTTCCCTGCCGATCGACGGGCTTCGTGCACCCGGGCGAAAGTGCGCGCAACGCTTCGCGTGGCCTGTAGAACGGCAGCTGCCGGCGGCTTCGCCGATTCTCGTAATTCCCGGCGTTAGTTTCCCTTTTCAAATCGAGCGACATGTGTGCGAAGGCGTGACCGTCGAGGAGCTCGTTTGCTCTTCCCTCCATGTGCTGCTGGTGCTACCGGTTGGAGTATATACCTTGCAGTCGGTGCGCCTAGGTGCGCCTTGTCAGCGCATTTGCCGAGGGCGAGGCGAACATGATGGTGTTGCGGACGGTGTATGCGCTTCCGTGTTTTGTATCCAGTTCAACGTCCTTGACTGGCGACGGTGCAGACGCAAGAGGCACTTGAACTGACGCCGCGCGCAGTGATTTCCGCAAACCTGAACGCTAGAGTTTCGACTGCCGTGCGTTGCTGCCCGCCTAATGTTTGCAAAATAAACGAACCGCGTTGAGTCGAGCCGTGTTTAGAGGAGTGGAGTTTCGTTCCCAACCCTATATCCGCATTCATACTTATCGGCGGTGTACGGTTTTGGCATCTTTTATTCACATTGAGTCGCCTTCTACAGCTCTCAATTTGCTAATGTTCCATTGAAGCCAAGTTGGCTAAACGTACCAAATTCTAAAGTAGAAAGTTTTTGGAAACATTATACGCCGGAATTACGCGGTTTATTAGACCGCGCAGGCCAGCAACCTGTATTTCCTACACACGAGCGTTTATTGTAGGCTGGGTAAGAAATGGGACAGATGCCGAAATAAAGCATGGAACGCGTTTCAAATGCGCGTATTTTCTGAAACATTAGGGAGGTTTCTTCAGAAACCGGTATTCATATGTGCCTACCAGCGTCCTGCCCCATTGAAAACAACGACTACACTTTAAACTCTGTTGCGGAACATCGCCAACCGAGCGATAAGGCCGACAGTTGCGTGCACACGAGAGAACAAAAGTTGTCTCTGGTGCTTGGAACTATTCAAAGCGCCCACTTTGTAGCAACGCAACCACAAGAATCATCAATGCGCCCCGCTTTGTTTATACCGCTCCGCCCTCGATTGTTTATCTAAATAACAACCGCGATGAATCAAAACATTTCTTTTATATTTATTGGGCTGTTTGCCGTATAATCGTTGCGGCGATTGTTTTCAGGGCATTCCAGCTCCCCCCGTAGAGGAAACCACCGCGGGTTTCTTCGTCCTTGCACGACCTTAATCGACGGAGCGAGTGTAGCGCACACTGAGAGAGAGAAAGAGTGATATCGTAATGAATCATTAACCCGTCCTAACGCATTAGTGCACCCGATATACGCTTCGCGTGCATGCGCTTAATCCGCTGGTAGCGATACGGCCCCAATTTAAACGCACTAAACTAGATTAACAGCTTGACGGAAGCCTATAAACTCTGCGCGCGCTCGCTCCGCCCCGACCCCCGAAGAGAATAATTGATTCGACTTAAAAGAAAACGCTGGGGCGTTTTGGATCAGTGGCGCGCTCGTGGGCGATTAATGATCATCCCACTCGTTTTCTAGTCGGAGGGCTCTACTGTCTCCCGATCCAGATGGCCGTGCTGATCTCACTGGTCACTCGCCGCGGACGAGCAGTCAGAGGTCCGCACCAGCATCTATGCCAACCCTTCCCTTGGCTGATAGCCGAGGATCCCCTCACGGTCTCGACACTGAGGCATTGAAGTAATACAAAATCCCAGAGAGCTCGTATTATTATTATTATTATTATTATTATTATTATTATTTATTTATTTGTAGCACATAAAAATATTCTGGCTCACAGAAGCAATAAACCCTTGTCTATGTGACTAGGGAGACCTTAAAACAATGAGAAAAAAGACAATAAAGTACGTTGTGTTGTCCAGTAGAAAACACTGTTACGCCATGAAAAAAAAAAAACAAAGAAAAAACTCTGTGCAAAGTAATAAAAGAAAAAATGTCGTAATATTTATATGACTCGGAAAATAATGTAATACAAAGCAACGACGCAAAGCAAGCTCGGCTCACACTTATGCCATTTCTATATCAATGGGCGGCTCAGATCTCCCGAAATAGTATTTTGGCGAGAAGGGCACTTTATTTAGGGACAAAGGCGAACGAAAAAATTTGGGAGTCAGGGAAACCCGTGACAACACTAGCTGGTGAACCCCCTGCGTTCACGGGACCTTGTCTGTGAATCCAGGCTTTACGGTTTCGGTCGCATTTCAGGAAATGAGTATGGCGGCCCCACCCCACTGCGAATTTTTAATTTCCTGTTTTCTATACCGCGTGATTTGCGATTGTAGTTTTAGGTACATATTTTTTATGAAACATGCACCCGTTGTTTCTATGAGGTTGAACGAGCCCTGTAAGTTTTGTGGCAGGATTGTAAGAAATATAAAGAATGAAAAGGATATGAAAGCGCGCGCATTCAAAATCTCTCCGTGCGGCCGAATACGAGACTTGAGTGTACACCAACACGCGGCTATGACGTCACATCCCTGCGATGGCGCTGTTGTCGCCACGGCGCATGCGTAGACGCTTCACCTTCACGTGAATCCGGTTGAAGCGCACGCGGAGTGCGCATACCTGATGTGAACAAACACGGGCTTGTTTATGAAAAAAGGAGTGATTAAACAAACAAAAAAATAATAATAAGAAAGAGAGGCAGGTGTGGTGTGAAGATTCGAAAATGGTGTTCTGGGACGAATCCGGGCACTATATTTTGATTTGTCGCAAAGACCTCATTGGAGGTTTAAACTGCCCGCGTCACTCAAGTTCTTGCCCGTGCGCCGCTTCTGGAGTTCGCGGGAGTTGGGCGCCGGTATTGCCCGTGCATGGATGGCACATCAGGAACTCCCTCCTTTTGTGTCTGTGTGTGTGTGTGTGTGTTCATTTTACGAAATTTTGGTTCAGTCATCTTCAACTCTCACTTTAGTGTTCTAAAATGGCTAGTGAACACCAATCCCGCATGTGATGCCGTAACGCATTATATGGAAGTGTGTCATTTGAAGAGTACACTCCGACGAGAAAATTTTTTGTAAACTTGTTGAGGGTTCCAGTGGACACTGAAACGTTGGTGTCCAGCGTGCTGGCTTATTGCTCTTACCACGTCCTAGGCTCGCAGTCAAACGGCGCGAGGGTTTAATCTGTGTAGGTGGGCGTATTTGTCACCCACATAACCGAGGGCTGTGATTCAGGAGTGAGTAGGCATGCCATCCTTTATAGCTCATAGAGTTATTATAATGTACGCTCAGTTCAACTTGCGCCAGTGTCTATGCGGCTTCCGGGATGCAAATTGAAGCAGACGGCAACCAGACTACTTTCGCGGTGCTCGTGCGCATGCTTATGGGAAAACCCGCGTGCAGTTTGTCTCTTCGCCGGAAAATAACATGGATAACTTTCGTAATTTCGGTCGTACTGAGTAGTATGTATCTTTATTATCATTGTATAAGTGTACTTGCTTTAGTCACAGTATTTTTCTTCAACGGTTAACGATGTTAAACTTCGCTTGTTGACCGTTACTCAGTTTCTTTCTAGTTAAACTTCGCCTCTGTTCCATAGCAGGTGTGTAAAAACGAGCCATGATTCTAAGCAAAATAATAATCGAATGGAATATTGAGTGTGTTAAAGATTCGCCAACATTCCGGTGGCGCTTATATAATGCTATTATGCCAGTCCTGTCACTATATTAAAATGACTCCGTCGTACGAGCGGTTAAAAGCATTCAAAATGTAAAGAATAAAATATGTGGGATATCAAAACTATTATTTTTTTTTATTATTTTATAGGCCGAGCAGCTTTATCGGGCACCTGTTCTCTGACTTCTCCCTATTCTTACAAATTTCGAGCTTCCGGTTATGTTTTGAACGCAGAACAAGCATTTTCGCACATATGTACGAGCGCAAAGAATACAGCAGTACTCATTTAATGCGATTCAGTCTATATTATTCGGTCGTAACTTCATTTTGATCATCTGCATGCACAGGGAGTTGCAGATCCAGGGTTACTGCGTAGTTCTTGCCGTCTCTCCTGGTTTTCCAAGCTTCCTTCGCCCGTTTGGCACGTAAACTCCCCATGCTAAAAAGCGCCGACGTCGTTTTCACGCTAACAGTGTTCGACAGTGAACATAAATGCACGTTGAAGCAGTTTT